TGTCTTATAGTTTCAAAAATTTCTATTTCTTACAAACCAATATGCTTAGTAAATTTAATCTACTGGCATACTAAGTTAAGGACAATATCTCTATTGTATGTCTTCAAAATACCTTAACTTTTCTGTAATTGTAATTTTTCTTTGACATTTACATTTTGATTGCAGGAGGATTGCAGAACGCACTTAACCACAGGACAAAACATTTCCAAGTTAAATTTTCCCTCAACCACATAAAACGTATCAATCTCTGATCCTGTGGCATTTGCAGTTGTAACTCTAGTTAATTTTCAGTAAGCATTTGTTAGTTACCAGTGTGACCAAAGGCTTGTCCCACAGGCCCAGTTACTCACAAAGGGAAACTGGGAAACACACAAGTTTAAATCTAATTTATCTTTACTTAAGCCCCAAAGAACATAAGGAAATCATTATATGGAGAATGTAAAGGGAAGGCTCATGTTTCTTAGCATTTTTCATGCTTACTAACTTGTTTGTATAGTTAATTCTGAAATGAAATATGCATGTTATTTCCCCCTCTTACTTTTTCTTTTGTTCCATATAGACCATATTCCATAGGCCGTATTTTCTTCAAATGAAAACAAACATTTCAGCAAATTGCATAAACTTCTGTCAATTAGAAGGCTTTCCTTTACGACTCTCTTTTCGGTGACAGCCATGAATAATTCATAATATGGTTGTCACTTTGAACTGAGCTTGGATGTTTTCAGACACATCCAGAAACTAGTGTCTTGCCTCTTTTTCTGTTAACAGGTTAGGTAATTCACCATAAGATAATAGATGTATATTGAGGAAGAAGTAATGGAGCAATAAAATTTAATATCATGAATGTGTAAACCCCACACTCCCGGTAATTCCTTGACCCATCTATGCTGGCCTGACTTTTTGCTAATAGAATCTAGTTGCCCATAGCCAAATTAATAACCTGGTAGGTTTTAGAACATTGATTTCACCATTGGCCAGCTAGATTACATGAAACATCTCAATCTGTTCCCAAAGTAACTCAAAAGTTAATTCTTTGAAAAGAAACATCATTGGAAAAATGAAGCGTGATCTTTCTCTAAACTCTTAGAAGTTATGTGTTTCAGAATTCTTAATTGAGAGCTGCTTAAAAAAAACAAACCTCTAATTAGAATAATTATAAAGCTACAGTGACAGAGATGCTTGTACTTCAGTCTGACTGTAAAGCAGAACGCTTCCTACTCTGGGTCTTACCCCAAAACTGAGATTATCTGGTTATCTGATAAATGAGTCAGAGTGCCCCGGTGTGTTTGCTTCATAGGAAATGCAGAGAGGCCCATGAAGTGAGACATCCAGCAATTCATCTCTTCATATACAAGGATGTTTGCTGCGCTCATGCTCTTTGATTTCTTCAATGTTCACCAATAGTGCAGGCCTCCAAATTTCAACATGATCTACCTCTACACTCTGGCATAAGTATATCCCATTATGTCATCTAGGGTATTTGCTCTTTTCTTGTGAGCAAGAATACTTAATTTCATCCTAACCTACTTTATACCACTATAGGAAGTGACTCATGGTACCATTAGGGTATAAAAATCAATGTGGTCAGTATTTCTACAGATTTTTATTATGATAGGGAACACAGCCATGAATTAAGTCAGGCATGTGTTACTGCTATCTCAGCACACTGCTTCTTATTCTCTTTATTCATTGTAATCATAAAGTGATTGCTTGAGCAGTGTCTGTGTATAGCTTCTTTAGGCTGGTTGGTTTGCTCCAGTAATGACTGTCATGTGTAAACGGCAATAAATAGCAATCTGTGACTATGTTTATGAAAAACAACAGTTATTTAACAAAGCCCTATAGCTTTGTACTTGCCAAACTTGTGCATTAAACAGAGTTAGAAAGAAATCATGCTGGAAATGTAGCTCAGTGGAAGAGCACTTGTATAGCATGCACAAGGCCTAAGGTTCAATCCCTTCCATTGCAAATAAATAACCACAGTTACATCCTTCATGTCTTTGTTGGTGGTATAAATCAGAAATGTGGGGGCTTTGTTTTGTTTTATTTGGGGTTAACAGACAGTGACAGAGGAGGCAAGTTTAGTTTGATCTGCATACATGACATACATGTATGCTAATGCTATCTTTGGAGATTGGATGGTTTTCCTCAGCTTGCCAGCTTCCATGAAAAATCGCAGGTGAGCCACTTACGAAAAGCATTTCAGAGTGTCTCACAAAAAGGGAATGTCACAAGGTGACAGCTTTAGCAAGAATTTATTTTAGTATAAAGGAGTTAAAGCAAGGAGAGAAGGAAACATTTCCTGCTCCCTGCATAGGAAATGGGAGTTAAAGACTCAAAATGGTGGCTACTAGCTATAACATGGCTTATGCTGTCTGAGGTAAGGGAGCCACAGTAGTCTTGCCAATCTAGCAGCTCGTCATTCTTATGAGGGTGGAGTTGATTGGTGAGGCTACTCCCAAACCTAGGTAACCTTATTTATCTTACAAAACTGTATAATGAAATTTTAGAACTTTGAGGAAATTTATTATTCATTTACATCCCTCTTTTTTGCTTTTATACAAAAAATAGCCTACATACTATCAAAAGAATGAGACTAATGCTAAACAAGAGTTAAAATCTGTCCCGCATTCCATAAGCACAGCTTCACATAGCAGATGGTTTTTTTTGTTGTTTTTTAATGAGATCTCATCTCAAACCCAAATCTTGATTGTACATAATGGGAAAAGATTGCATACGGGAAAAAAAGGAAAAATGATGCCTATTTTCAATATTACATTTTTTCCTAACTGCTAAAGTGCAGAAGAAAAGGAACTAGAAAATCACACAAAGAAGTTATAGTCCTAATGAAGACAATAGTGAAAACATAAACATTAATCTGGATAGAATTACACCCACCCAGTTCATGACTTCTTATGTCAATTGGCTTTATATCCATCTTGGTAATGTTATTCCTACTGCCACAACAGAGAAAGAACATTGGGTGTTTTCTAAAAGGGTTAAAATGGTAGAACATTGTAAATGATAGTGGAGAAGCCGGGCTCCAGTGGCTCACATCTGTAATCCTAGCTACTCAGGAGGCTGAGATCTGACGATCACAGTTCAAAGCCAGCCCGGGCAGGAAAGTCTGTGAGACTCCTATCTCCAATAAACCATTCAGAAAACCGAAAGTGGAGCTGTGGCTCAGGTGATAGAGTGGTAGCCTTGAGCTGAAGAGCTCAGGGACAGCCCAGGCTCAGTTCAAGCCCCACAACCGACAAAAAGAAAAAAGAGTGGAGAAACTTAACCATCGTGGAAAAGTAGCAAGTGTTTCTTGCATCATCTTTCTATGTATAATCTTTCTATGTGTGTAGGGGGCGCTGTTATGCTCAGCTATTGTCCCCATGGATCCCTAGCTACAACTTTGTGGTCAGGTACCTCGCCAAGCCATTGCTTCTTCCTTCTGCTTTGTTGTCCCCGGAGATCTCTAAGGCTGAAGGGGTGTCTGCAGCCTGTGACCCCCCAACAGCCCAGAGGTGCTGGAGATTGTTTAGCTAATAGTGAGATTGAGGATGGTTTTAGCCACTGAACAATGGCTTATCACAGGTTCTCCAGCCTGCCGTGGATCACATACATAATGTCACACAGTTGATTTTTCATAGGAACAAGAGAGCCCTAAGTAACACTGAATTGTCATTACCCATTGCCTGCTCTGTGCATTGATACACACATCATTGGCTTCTCTCTTCTTCTTGTCTTACATACTGCATTCTCACACTGGTGGACTAGTTCTGCTAATAATTATTGGCTGGCTATTGTTCTGTTATTTCAACTGTGAATACCATTACATTTTTTTCCATGGAGAACAGTGATAGCTATCTATAAGATACTCAGCAGTTATCTCCTCCTGGTGAGAACCATAAGAACCACAATTCTGAAGGTGCAGGAGAGCTCAGTTGGAAGAGCACCAGCCTTGAAAATGAAAAGCAAGTGCTAGTGCAAAGGCCTTGGGTTCAAGACGCAGCACACACACACACACACACACACACACACACACACACACACACACACACACACACACACACACTGTGCAGGACCAACGTTCTCCAAAAGTATCTTTTTTGTTCTGTTGCATATTAATACTACTATTTATTATCTATCCACATTTTAATTTAAATGTATTTCGGTATACACATTTACAGGTATGATATACTGCCTCATGTCATGATAAATCAGTACTGTTAATTCTGGATTTACATTTAAATGCTGCTGTCTTCCATCTTCACTCACATTAGGCATAGGCAAGATTTAGATTCCTCAGTTCATATTCTCAGTGTATGTTCTCTTCGCAGTTAAAATAGTAATTTGTTTTTACAGTATTATGATATGTATACATTTATAGTAGGGATCCAAATAATGTACCAATGCACTTTCTTATATAACTTTTGATTTCCTTTTGTTTTTTTTTTGTCTCGAGTAATGTGCACTCAAATTTTAAATGTTATGTGCAAAATGCTGTAATAGCGCTATCTTTAATTAAAATGTATCTGAATCATCAGACTTCAGTTATTAGCACAATTTTCTCAGGTTTTCTGTATATGTGATAATATTGTAATTGTTTTACTTACTTCCTATGAGCCTCTTTCCAAAAATGCTCCATCCACCTGCTATACATGGCTGTGTCTGCTAGAACTCTGTCAGCTGACATTTGGAAACTTCCTTATGCTACTTTCCTTAATTGAGTTAATTTGCATCTCTATACCATAGTAAATTTACATTTATACTGTATACAGAGGAGACACATACAGCTTGAATTGTATTGCATCTTAATGATGATTTTTTATCCTTTCCGATTATGACAAGGATCAAATAGTTGCTATTATTGGTCTCTGGTATAAGCAAATTCATATATTGCTTCAAAGGCATATTAAAATTTTAGAGAAGTAATAACACTGCCTGCTGTTGGCATGTCAAATATAGGGAAAATAATATGGCCTATTTCTCTCTCTTTTTTTTTCTAGAAACAACAAAAGACATCTTAGTGATACATGAAGACGATGTGGAGGAATGGGCTTTCTACCTGAGGGAAATATTTCTACATGTGGTAAAACAAGAAGCAATCCTATTGTATCCCTTAGAGACTTTCTCTCTTAGGCCTCGGGAATTGCTAAGTTTAAATTCTTACAAATGTAAACTTTTGATAATATCAAATCGCCTGCTTAAAGACCTAACTCCAAAGAAATGTCAGTTTCTGGAAAAAGTGCTTCACTCACCAGAAAGTGTGGTGACTTTGCTTTGTGGGGTAGAGAGCGCAAATCAGCTGTACAAATTATTACATATTTCCCAGAGCAGATGGGAAATGTCAACTGAGCAGGAACCCGATGACATCATCTCTGTAATCAAGCAAATCATATTCAGAGGTAGTGTTGCAACATCTTCTCGGTTTTATTTTTATTTGTTCATATGTTTTAATATTTTTAAGTTTTAAAGTTCCTTTCAAACCAATAAACAGCTGATAGGAGACTAAAAAGGAAAGCATAGATGCCAAGTGTATTTTCCTTCATGTTGTACTTTCCATGAAACTTACTTTTTTTAGCGTTGATATAATCAAGGCTTATCAGTTGTTTGATAATGGTTTATAAATAATTTTCTTAGGGAGAACATGGCAGAACAAGGTGATGTGATGTCAAATGGATTCTGGAAACTGTTCTTATGTCCTTGGTGATGTTTGAGTTGGAATTATCTGTCTCCACGCTGTTACCAATCAATAGAAGTTCAAAGTTTGAAGGTCTAGATTAGAATTAATTTTAGAGCCTTGTTGTGCTGTCAATTGTGTAACACCTGTTATCATGCAGTGAAATATGGTTGATTTTATTCATTGGAAACAGTAAATTTGTTAAACATAGAGTCATTGTCTAAAAGATAGAAGGTCTCATTCATCAATAATCTACCGATCTATGTAATGGACCAGAAGCTGACAGTGTCAGAGCTACTGCCCCCACAGCTCTGCTGTTGTTGTGGGGGAGGGGTGGAGCAGTCATCTGCTCCCCCCATTTTTAAAACCTATGTGTTAACTTCAACCCCCAGCCTTCCAGCTGTGGTTTCATTCCCTAGAGGGAAAGAAAGGGGTTATTATATTGTTTTATACTGACATACCAGACATTAACAGTTTGTTGTTTGGCCAGGAATGGTTTAAAAGGCTTAATGCCTATAATCCCAGATATTCAGGAGGCTGGAGAGCCATGGTTTGAAGCTGCCCTGGTACAAAGCACAAACTCTGCTTAAAACAGTAATAATCTAAAGGTAAAGGACTGAAGACGTAGCCTTCATTATATAGAAATACATTTGTTCTAGTTGCTCTGATTTATAATGAACAGCTTTCAGGGTTAATATCTTCAAATGAGATTTCTTTTTTATAATTAATAGTTGAAAGAATATAGAGACTTGGAGCTGGGAATGTGGCTGAGTGGTAGAGTGCTTACCTAGCATGCATGAAGCTCTGGGTTCCATTGCTCAGTACCACATAAACAAAAAAAGCCAGAATTGGTGCTGTGGCTCAAGGGGTAGAGTGCTAGCCTTGAACAAAAGAAGCTCAGAGACAGTGTCCAGACCCGAGTTCAAGCCCCAGGAATGGCAAAAATAAAAAAATAAAAAAAATTAGAGACTTTGTATGCAGCATAGTGCTTTCTGGAAAACACTATTTGCTATCATTTTCCCCAAATCAGGTTTTGTACTGTGACATTTTAGGAAGACTGAAATGGACCCGATGGAGCAAGTGACCACTATAGGTGGTGCAAGTGAGGTCAAATACAATGCAAATGTCTGTGGTCCCAGAATCCAAGCAGAATGTAAGCTACAGGCAATTTCTAAACCATCCATCATATAACTTTTGTTAAGTATCTATGTCCCTTGACAAAGTGGGTCATAATTGTTACAGTCAATTCCATAAAAACTTATTTTAATAAGCCACTTAAGCAGAGTGATGTTATTTTTGTTTCATCTTACCATTCACATTGAAGACAAAAGTCTGGTTTTTCAAACTGGAGAGTGGTATAGATGGGTAAAATAGGACAAAGGATACAGAATTCCATTTTTTCTCTCTTTTCTACTTCCTCCATCCCACAGAGAAATTACACAAAGAAGAAAAGAGCCCTCTATGCAGAGACACGCCATGATAAAGAGAATCATAAGAAGGCCAGGAACATTGTGCAAATAATTAAATGTTTAATATATTCACACAGACAAAGACAAACTAGAGAGAATTCTGTACTTAATGAAAGTGATGTTTTATAATTAATCAAGGCTCTAGAGCAAAGTTTTTTAATATTAAAAAAGTTAAATAGGAATTTATATTTCATCTGAGTATTTAATGTCCTGTTAAGGAATTAAGAAAACCTAAATCTTTTATCTCCATTATTGGCAAATTGGGAATAATACAAATCCAATAAGAGTTTCCAGCTCTCTGTGTATTTCATCACCACATGGACAACATTTTCTTCCTTCTGTTTGGTCTTATATTTATTTTGGGTTCTTTGTTTTAGCCCTTCTATAGAATTGAATGTGTAATGTAATAATCTGGTTGCAAAGTTACAGAAAATCAACTAGATGGTTGACTTCACTATCTTGGACTTTATCCTCCCATTGAGGGAAAAGCTTCCCCCTTAGCTACAATGTTGACATGATCCCGGCTCCCTTCTCCTTGTTCTTGGTGCCCCAATGGCCACTTTTTGCTTCTGGATCAATCAGGTTTGTTCTCTGCTTCCTACACCTACAGCTCTCTCTGTGGTTGATGTTCTTGTATTTTCTTCAATGTCTAATGATAAGGGGGATGCTATTTATTAATGGAGACACTTATCTTTTAAGTTTTGTTTTTATATTAGTCACACTCAGGATGGTAGTTGACTAGTTTATTTAATCTAAAAGAAACAGCTGAAAAATAGAGTCTTCCTTTGATTGATCCAAACACCAGCACCTCAACAATCTCTATAGCTTTTCTTCTTTTCTCTCTCACTGAGCTGTGTGCCTGGGAGAGTCCCGGTTGCCTGGCTCTGCTCAGAACGGTTCAGAGAGGCCTCTGGGCCTCTCCGACGCCATCCATCTGGAATTAATCCGATGTGCTTGCTATGTGAGGTTGGATGCTGAATTATTTTTCCACTGTGAATTACCTGTGCTGAAATGTTCCAGTCGACTATATCTGAAAGTGTTGGAGCCCTTTACATTTTTTTTTTTTTCGGGTCCGGTCGTGGGGCCTGAACTCTGGGCCTGGGCGCTGTCCCTCAGCTCTTCAGCCCAAGGCTAGCGCTCTACCCCTTGAGCCACAGCGCCACTTCCGGCTTTTTTTTTTCTTTTTGCTTATGTGGTGCTGAGGAATCGAACCCAGGGCCTCATGCGTGTAAGGCAGTTGCTCTACCACTGAGCCACCTTCCCAGCCCCAGCCCTTTACATTTTTTATTTGACTCAACTTTCTTAACTTTGCTTTGTACGAATTTGTTAATATCGCTTGTATTCAAACATCTTGGCATACAATTATTTATTATGTGCCTTTGAAAAATGTCTACCATGTATGAAATATTGTCATATATGTACATATATATGTGAGGCTTTGTTGCTGAGATGAGCTTGTACTAGTTTTTTTACACAGGCTAGATTTGAACCATGATCCTCCTGATCTCTATCTCCTGCATAAATGTAATTATAGTTGTGGGCCATTGTGCCTGTTTTTTTTTAATACCTGATTAATTTCAGAAGTTTATCAATTTGGCTTGTGTTCTCAAAGAATAACCTTTTGAATTTCTGTTAAATTATATTTTTATTATCTTTAAGTACTGCTACAAAGAGTTTTCATTTCAATGTAGTTCCTGAATGTAATGTATCTTGGTCAATATTACCTTTCTAATTTTCTCCTAGCGCTCTCAACCCCACCTCAATTTACCTGGTTCATTTTCACATAAGTACATTGAATAGTCAATTAACTTTTGTCCTGATCCTCTGAGTATTTGTTTGTTTTAGTGTTTTTGATTGTAATCAATGAAATGGCAATCATTAGCTACAGAAATTCTGATTTCAGTGCATTTGCTAAAGAAACTAGGTCTGTCCCTCACCTCAGGAAACTGAGTTTCCATTTGGCATCATTGATACTCTTGGCATCATTGATACTCTTAATTAAAGAGAGAAATTGTCCTACTTTTTCATGCCACCCACAGTCACCACTAGGGAAAGTATTCTCTTTGCATGTTTGAATGTCTCTGGCTTACAGGAAGACCTCTCTGCTCAGGCTCTCACTGGGAACGGTGCAATGGGTATGGGTTCCCTGCTTCCCTGAACTACCAGAATTGTAGTTTACATGAGAGCAAAGTATGGGCTCCAGCTGCTCCCAGAACAGCATGAATGGGTGCTGACTTCCTGTTTGGGCCTCTGTGAAACTTTCTTTCTCTTTAAATTCATTCCTGCGTGACCCAATGTGGTTCTTACCAGGTCAGGTTTGATATGAAACAGCTAGTGCTGAGCTGGTGTTATCTTCCTAAATAGCTTATGAGGTACTTTAGCACTGAGAAAGAAATTGTTGCCATGGACTTGAAATTAGAATTTTTGACTAATCAAAGTCACAGGTTACCATCGACACAGGCCCTTTATGAGTCTTTAAGCCAATGACAATACTGTTTTCACTCTTTGTTTTATCTTCATAGGCTTTATTTTCATGATCTTAGTCCACTTCTGAAAGAAAACACCTAAAAAAAAGGTTTAGTGATTGGATAGTGTAGAATTTGTAGCCATTTGTTTTGAAAGGAATGTTTAGTAAGTTTGAATGCCAGTGTCAGGGCTTGAACCCCAGGCTTCACTCAGCATTTTGCTTGCTAATAAATGGTATTCTACCACCTCAGCCACTCCTCCAGACTAGCTTTTTTGTGGGTTAACTGGAGATGGAGCTCATGGACTTTTATACCTGGGCTGACTTCAAACTGCAGTCTTCTGGATCTCAGTCTTCTGAGATGGAGGCTGAGACAATAGGTACTGTGGTTCCCTGCTGAAAAAAAGTTCTTAGCTGATTCTAAAATGCTGTGAGTAACAATGAGTTTTAAAAATTCCAATGAGCCTGGCGCCAGTGGCTCAAGTATGTAATCCTAGCTACTCAGGAGGCTGAGATCTGAGCATCACGGTTCAAAGCCAGCCCAGGCAGGAAAGTCCATGAGACTCTTATCTCCAATAAACCACTAGAAAACCGGAAGTGGTGCTGTGGTTCACGTGGTGGAGCGCTTGCCTTGAGCTGAAGAGCGTAAGGACAGGGTCCAAGCCCAGAGTTCAAGCCCCATGACTAACCAAAAAAAAAAAAAAAATTCCAATGAAACAAGACATTCTCCTTTTGTTCATGTGAGAAAAGGATTGCTTATAAACAGTGAGATGTAAGCACTTCATAATGACC